ATGTTGAAAATTGCTTCTGTCTATCAGGAGAACATACCTGTAAGCAATAGTGAGCTCTTGTTCTAACCTTAAGGAAAATGTTTCAAGACACTTTCAGCTTCTTCATCCTCGGTCTCTTTCTCTAATGCCGTACCGAAGCACAGAAGGCTTCAGAGCTGCAGTCAGGAGTAAAGCCTACGTTGGTGACGTATTGATGATTATTAATGCGTAAGTATAACATGACAACCGTAACCAAAACATGTTTACATCTACGTAACCAGAGACTAACCGTTATACATGGCGGCACCGTACAGGTTGATGTCGTCTATTACAGGAGGAGCCCATTGCTGGACGTGACACCTTAATTAATCTTTTTGGACACAGATGATGAATTAACAAGGATCCGCAACACCATAATTAATCCTCGAACCGAAAATAAAATAATGGGACTAATCCCGGCGCTCTCACTAAACTCGGTCGTGTGTTGTATAGGGTGCTTTGTGGAAATGGGGTCGTATCTCCTAATGTTATGTGTCTATTAGTAATCCCGCCTTAGGTGAGCGGGGCATTTCTCGAATGTACTGATAATCCCTCGGCGCCGCTGCGAGAGACGTCACGGCGAAATGGATTTCATTATTTCCATACACCCCGAGCCGCCATAATTAAGGTAGTAACGGCGACCGAATGCAGCAGTTCTTTCGCTTTGTCGCGGAATATTAAATTTTTTAACGACGCCATGTCTTTTTGGGACCAATTTAATTGTCGAACTTAATTAAATCTAAACAAAAGCGTTAGCAGACGTTGGCGTGATTGTCAAACGTTGTGACCGATTTCCGCGTCGCCGCCGCCAGTTATAAAAGGCGACCGGTTGAGAAATGAGTTATTTAAACGCGAAACTTTCCGTCGCCTTTGTTTAACGTTACAAGGATCCGTTCCCTGCCAATTAATAATTCAATGACAAACTTTACCAAGAGCAATAAATATTCGTTCTCCTCCGCTAGCAGGACAGCAGAAAACCCTCGGGATTAGCGGCTATGACATATGAAAACGTTTTTAGATCTAAGAATAATAAACACTTACTACATGGATACTAACCATTCCAAGATTCCAAAGAGACCCAATTGTAAAGGGGAGTCTCCAAGAGCTTCAAAAGTTACCAAACTGAGAAGGTTTCAAATTCCAAAGAACTTAATTCTAGTTAAAAGGACCTTAAAAGAAACAAGTATAAATTGTGCACAATTCTTGTGCAGATAAAGCACATTTTTAAACAGAAACAGCTTTTGATATATTCCTTGCAGACGTCGCAATCGCCCTTTGTGAGTACCCTCTTCCGACAATCCGTTCTTGAGGTATAAGGGAATATACCCGATCACGGTAAGAGGTCGAGGAGGAGGACTATGGTTGGTAGAAATTAATTCCTTTCGTTGAGACCTTTCATTAGAGTACCATGAAGGGTAAAACTAGTTTCAGTCGCCCCCCCCCCTCCACGCCACCCCATACTTTAATAAGAGGACGGAAAGAAGGGCAGTAATTGGTAGAAAACTGTTCCTATCGTTGAGACCTTTAATTAGAATACAATGAGAGATTATTTTTACCCCCCTCTCCCCCCATCCACCCCTCAAGCCCCGTCACTCACTGATCTCGAAAAAGAGTCGCACGGGAAAGTTATAGTTTGTACAAACCAATTTATTTCGATGGGACCTTTCATTAGATACCATGAAGGGCAGAACATGTGTTTACCCCCCCCCCCCAATTTTCTAAAGTTTAACTTGGCACCACTAAAGGCATGCGTATGCAAAATCTGAGACCAATTGGTTGTCGTATGTAAAAGTTATGCACGTTTTACTTTCAAAAACAGCATCTCAGGAAATAAGGCCGTCTGGCACACCTTCAAGGTATAGGCTACCTACTGCAAAAAATTCCAGGACTCTAGGACCATTCCCCTAGAAGTAGTTCAAAACGGCAGAAGTGGGTCCGGACGGACGGACGGACAAAACGGAAGCAATAGCACATTTTTTTTTATTCTTAAAAAATGCCCTAAAAATAATTCTAGAGATTCTAAAAAATTGCTCCAAGGCTCCGCCCACTCAAAAATAAAGGCCAATAAAATTAAAATAAAATTAAATTCCAAAAATTCCTTTAGCCTGCTTTTTGTTCAATTTGGCCTTTCATTTTGCTCAAAAGGGTATCTGGACCGCCCGCTTAGGGGAGCAATCCGTCGTCAGGGTCCAACTGTCTCAGATTGAGAGACGTACACAAAGGCGATCCGACAAGAAGCCCAGAGGTTTTGAAGCACTCAAAGTTGCGGGTGAACTTATGGACAAGTCGCTGTGGCGGGGCTCAGGGTGGCTATTGTTCCGGAGGCGGACATCACTGAGCCTCAGTCAAAGGGTATTATGGCTGCACCGAATGCAGTTGTTGAAGAGATGAGGGGGGGGAGGCATTCCCACGGGTGAGAAGTTCCGCTGGAATCCACAGAGGGTGCCATTGTGGTCGAATGCAAAAACCATAGACAATGGAGGGTTGGAGACGACCGTCCTTCTTATTAGGCCCTGGGATAGCCCGTCTATGAAAGTGCTGAGGTAGGTCCCTAGAGTAACCAACGTGATTTGATACCAAAAAATGGCGACATTTCCTTTGCATGACCTCAAGAATGTAATTGACCACCACAAAAGATAAATCGTTATTTGAAAAAATGGGTTCATTGTCTTCGGATGACCTTGAGAATGTAATTATACGCCACATAAAAAAGAGGTCATTGACTCTCAGATCTCAGATGACCTTAAAAATATAAATTGACACGGAACAAATGGGTTAATTGACCTTAGATGACCATCAGAGTATAATTAGACACCACATAAAGAAGGCACACCGCAAAACATGGTGCCATTGTATGCTGTTGAAAATGCGATTTGATACACACACAAAAATGGGTTCATTGACCTTAGATTACCTCGCGAATGTAATTGGAAACCACAAAAAAAAGGTATTGACCTATGACATTGAAAATGTAATCACAACAAATGGGTTCATTGACCTTGGATGACATTTAAAATGGATTCTGATACCACAATTGATGTCATTGACTTTAGATGACATTGAAAATGTTATTTAACACCACATCAATGGAGGCCATTGACCTTGTAAATGTAATTTGACACCCAAAAAAAATGTAATATGATAACTACATCTTGCCTTTGGAGTTTTACCGCGACTAACATTTCAAGGTCACCGCCCACGCTGCACGCAACTTTGACCTTGACCTAATTTCTAAGGTCACCACCTACGTGGCACGCGACTTTCACCTTGACCTAATTCCCAAAGTCACTACCACGTGACATTCAACTTTCACCTTGACCTAGTTTCCAAGGTCAATTCTCACGGGGCACGCGACTTTCACCTTGACCTAATTCCCAAAGTCACTACCACGTGACATTCAACTTTCACCTTGACCTAGTTTCCAAGGTCAATTCTCACGGGGCATGCGACTTTCACCTTGACCTAATTTCTAAGGGCACAGTCACGTGACACACCACCTTGGCTTACTTTTTAAGATTACCAGATGGTGAGCGACCTTGAAGTGGTTCAGGATCGCACCTGTACCACTACTCCCAGCAATTCCAACATGCTGGTATTCCCACGGGGACGGCCCCCCATAGCATCGTGTGCGAGTTGCAGAGGTGAGTGTCTGCTGGGAGATAGCCCTGGGAGCATTCGTAGGAAGCGAGGGTTCGTTTAATAACACCACGTTCAAATCGTCAGATGGATCTGCACCATACTCGGAAGCAGGGTCATTATATCCTCAATAGAGCGACGGAGAAGAGCTGCTCGGTTACTAAAGGATGCCCGCAGGGTGGAGTCTTGTCTGCTGTGACCCTGTGCTAAACGCACTCTGAACGACGACGCAGCGTTATATACATACATAACTGGAAAGTTTCCAAACACCCTGCAGTAGCCATGACCTCTACGTTATCCTAGAAATGACCTAGATTGTTCCATTTACGAATAGATAGAGAGAGGACCTTGAAGGTCTCACTTTTCAAGGACTTCAGCCGAGTTTGACCAGCTCAGTGAAACATTTTGGAGTGACCTTGAAAGGGCACATTGAGCGAATAAGCAAAAAGGCAACTGCTTGTGTATGGGCATGTATTAGAGGGTTTTTGGCTGTACATGGGACTTGTCTACTCGATTCGTATTGGTTTTACATTGTAGCTGTGAAAGCATGATGGGGACGAGAGGAAGGATCGAGGTAGCCTTGGGCACGGGCGAATCTGGGAGGTGGGATCTTCGTCGGGCCCGAGCCTACCCTAGGAATTGCTCCCACCGTTGTCAGGGCTAGGGTTGGGTGACCAGTCGAGGGTCAGTGGCAATAGGAAACCAATCCAGGGCCTTTTTAAAAAGGCCTCTTGGCAAATTTATTTATTAATTTATTCTTTCTCATTGAGCATTTGAATGAACTCTTAAAGCGCTCTGAAACTTCTTGGATGTCACTTTTTTTATTTCGACATTCAGGAGGGGGGGGGGTTACTCTCCGCGCGGAGAGGACTTCCGGCTTCATACTTTAAAAGTCTTTCAGCGTACCGCAACTCCGGCCATTGGGCCTGGTCCTCCTCTGTCGACACTTTGTTATTCCTTTTGTGTAAACAAAAAAATCGAAGTGGGCCTAAATCTAAACAATCGAAGTGAAACGGTATAATCAGTGTCATAATTTTGAGGTTTGGGACGGGGGGGGGTGGGCGGCAAATAAACACTCGAGGAACATTTTCTTATGTGTAAAGGGGGAAAGGGGGAGCGAGCTTTTCACGAAAGGCAGCTTTTTCCGTCACGCGTACCCGGCTCCCATTATTCCGCGTTCATTTTTCAAAAAGGAAAATATTCGAATTAACTTAAAACGTTCAAATTTTGTACCTAAAAGCCGTCTGGAGGTGATAAGAAACGGTACAGGTGGCCTGTTATTGCTCGGCAGCCAATCAGAGCGCGACCTTGCCCGAGGTTGCTTCTAAGCAACACAGTCGCGCTCTACTTTTCGTGCCGAACGGCTTGTGGCTTATTGTCCTTAATTTTTGTGCGTGATTTTCCATCTTTCCCGCTGATTCTCAACGTAAGAGCACGGGGTGAGTTTTTAATTTACGTATTCGACAAATACCAAGTGCCAGAATCGTGTTCAAACAGTATTTACGGTGGTAGCGGTTCAAATCGCGTTCCGTTTTCCAATGGCGTCGGTTAGGTACAGCACCGCTCTAAAAAAATGCATTTTGTTCCAGGAATCGCCTCCACCCTCAGGAACGGCTTTCAAAAGGTGAGTCTACTTTCTTTATTTGATAATTAATGCATGCGCACAATTAATTAGTGTTCAAAGGACCCCTAACCACAAAAAAACCACCGATTTCTTATAGGGATGATGACGTCACGCCATGGTTTGTTTACGTTTTACGAATGGTCCTGCAACGTACGTGAATTTTTTATCCAAATACCACCCCGTTTATAACAATTTCGTGTGATACTGATACCCCTTTTCGATTAGATCGCGTTTCGCATTCGTACCTGTAATCACAAAGGTCACAAAAAAACTCCCCCAGGTGGTGACGTCGCTGCACGCAAATTTTTCCTTCACTTTGTCGCGAATCCGCGTCCCTTTCACGTGCAGACTGAGAATATTCCTCCACGTCGTCGTGGAGAAGCTGCACATTTTACAGTTAAATCCATCGGAACCGTGACGTCATTGCTTGTGGTGTGATTTCCTCGTGAAGTCACTTTTGGCAGTCGAATTCGGAGGTGATAACCAGGCCCGTAGCCAGAACGAAGTAGCAGGGGTATTTTTCTAGGTAGGGCTTAAGAAATGTTTGATAAATGCTTTCCCTGTAGCTTTTGTAAAGGAACCACCAACCGTAATTTCCAGTGGGGGCAAGGTCACATTCTAGGTGGGGCTCACCTCCTAGCTACGGGTCTGGCGACTACCCTTCACGTGTTAAATCTAGTTTCCTTTCCATTGCGTCGTGAATTCACACTCTTCACATTTAAAATCCTGCGTACCACCACAGTTTTTTTCACATTTTGATTTTTTGTCGTCAAGGGCCTCCAAATACTGATGTTCTTTTAAGTGGTGCCTCAAATTTTGATCAATCTGTGTTGTGAATTTGCACTGTTCACAATTAAATCACGGATGCTTCGAAGTGTCGGAAGAAGCGGAATCGTTTTATTTTTGTGGTGTGGTAGTCCTCTTTGTTTCTCTGCAGATCCTGTTGGATAACAAGAGGAGTTGCTTCTTCGTGTATAGTTCGACATTGCTCTCTGCGGACAAAGTGTAATTGGGGGGTTAAAAATTCAAACGAAGAAACAAAACACATAACAATATTGAACAACGATGGGTAGCAGAATTAGAACCGCCCCCTACATTTGAACCATACTCACTTTTTTTTTGATAATTCAAGTTTAATCCTCAAGTCCCCAATTTTGAGGTACTTACCCTTGAAGTTAGATTCAAAGGCTCTAAACGTGGAAGTTTCAAAATCATATTAAAATTCGGTCTCAATTGATTCTTTCACTTTCAAAATTCCCTTTCGATTTTTTAAATTTTAGACATAGCTCCAACTTCATAGGTATAAGATCTTCAATTTTGGTTTCCATTTTGAAGCCACCATTAAAAAGTAGATTAAGAAAGAACAGACGGATAACAGTTACGTCTGTAGAAAGAAAATAAAAATCAAATATGTCTTCAAAAATATTTATCTTTTCAGCTACTGGTAATTGAGACGAGGACGTCACTCTTCGAAGAGAAACTTTCTTCCACCTCTAATTGCCGTCGTTCGTCAGAAACTGCCCGAGCAGGAATGAAAACCAGTTTCGTACCTTCTTTGGTTAATGGGTTTTCTTCCCAGACGAGACTGACTTAATGAAAAGGTGAGTTTTCACTTTTCAACTAATAGAACAAGCTCCACTGAAAGCGTTTTCGGCCGAAAATACTAAAACTAAAAAAAAATGCACCTACAAGCACTTCCCTATGTTTTTTTTTGTTTGCCAAAAAGTCGCTAGGAACTGTATTTTGATAACATTTTTTTTCAATTTTCTAATGTTGAATTTCCTACCTGCTTTTTCAATTATACAGGGTGTCAATTTTAAAACTTGCAGTCCTCCATACTTTCCAAACTAAAGAAGATATTGAAAATCGCGCAAAACCGTTTCGGGGGTATCGAGGGGGAGCCAGAATGACGTTATGAACGACAACCCTCCACCCCTTAACCCCCCCCCCCCAACCCCCTCTTCAAAAATCTTAAATGGTAACCCGATACTTGTGACACAGCGTTGGAAAGCTACTGAAAAATTCTTTCCAGTGGTATCAATAAACTCAATATTTATTAAGACAATTTAACAAAAATTTAATAATGAACAAAAAAAACTAAATGACATTGAGGGATTTGTTGATTATTTCGAATTTTTCACAAAAACCTTAAGTTTCCGTCTATTACTTCAGTGCTCGACTAAACGAACCTGCTTGTATTTTTGAATCGGTTTTGCATAAATACGTAGGAAGCAAAGGGGGCGTATGCCCCAGAAGAAATGGTCTGTAGTAACTGATTACTCCCTAATATTCTTAGTACTGCCCTGATAGTATATTGTTGAGTAGTCAATTCAATCTTCGTGTGTGCCCTGAGATGTATTCGCGCTGGGAGGTATTCTGTACCCCCCCAGACCCCCCGGTGCTACGTATTCATGGGAAAGGGACACCGAATCTCCTTATTTTCCCGAGGAGGGGGGGAGGAGGATTTATTCCATACCCCCACATCCCTCGAAACTCAGCACCTACGGTTCTTACGTTGCCATTTTGGAAAAGGGTCACCGGATCCCCCTTTTTTCCTGGGGGACCCCCGGTGCTACGTTCTGCCTCAAAGTGTTCTTTGCCCTAGGACCTTTCCGATACTACTTTGGTAAAAATCATCGAATCTCCCTTTCCTGCCGGGCATTCAATACGCCTCAGACCCAGACTCCCTGGTGCTACGTCGTTCAGGGAAGTTCATGGTAACTTTCGGGGAAAGTCATTTGAATCTTATCTTCTGAGAAGTGCTTCGACAGTTGTTGCGTTAGTCCATTCTGTAAACGTTTTTGGTGAAAAACGTATCACCGGAGGGTCTGGGCGATATGGAATACCCCCCCAGAAAAAATGCTCTATAGCAAATGATGACTTTCCCTAATACTCCTAGTACTGCCCTGATCGAGTTCCTGATAGTATTGTGGAGTAGACAACCGAATCTTCGTGTGTGAATTGGGATATGTACGCGCTGGGAGGTATTTACCTACTCCACACCCTCACACATTATGTTACTATTTTGGAAAAGGGTCGCTGAATGCCCTTTTTCCGAGGGTGGGGGGATTTTCATATCCCCAGACTTCCAGGTGCAACGTTTTGACGCAAAATGTTCAAAGCTTTAAAGATCCTTATGCTGTTTTCATGGGAAAAGGAATCTCCCTGTTTTTCCTGGGGAGTATTTATTCCATACCCTCACATCGCCCGAAGCTACGGTTAGCCTCACAAAATTCTCAGCCCCTAAGGTTCTTACGTTGCCATTTTGGAAATAAGTCACCGGGTTTCCTTTTTTTCCTGGGGGACCCCCATATCCCTTGGTGCTGCTTTATTCTATACCCCCCAGACCACTGGTGCTACATTTTCCAGCAGAATAGTTCAACCTTTATGACACTCATGATACTTTCGGGGATGGTCATTCGAATCTTCTTTTCCTGAGAAGTGCTTCACCTTCTAAGTTCGACAATTGACGTGTTAGTGCTTTCTGTAAACGTTTTTGGTGAAGAGGGAGGTCTGAGGAGTGTGGGATTCCCTAAAAAAATTTCTGTGGATAGCACGGATACAAACCGCACACCTGCACATGCGCAATTCTGCCCTTTTATGTGTCCCAAATTTGGTTCCAATCGGTTAAGCCGTTTGGCCGGAAATNGGGTCCGTTAACTTGGCCCCCCCCCCCCACTGAGAGATTTCATAGTCGTATTATTTTGAAATGAATGCGCTCGTTATGCGCTCATATGCGCCACCGATAATAACTCTTGCGCCATTATCGTTTTTTTAGAAATCCGAAAAAACATTTTGGGGGGGCCAAGTGAACGTAGCCCCCCCCCCCGTACGTATTTTGTCCCTTGTAACTAGGTCACCTGATACATTTGGTTATGCGCTCAATTGCGCCACTTGAATTAAAGCTAGCGCCCAAAAAGTGGGGGGGGGGGCCAACTTAACGTTTTTAAAAGTTACTTTTTTTTAACATCTTTTCATACGAAATTGTACTCTCAGGTATGCGCTGAAATGCGCCGTAAAAAGATATCTTTGCGCCAATATTGTTTTTTGGTTATCCTTAAAAATATTTTTGGAGGAGGGGGGGGGGGCAAGTGAACGGAATCCCCATAACGCATTTTGCTACCGGTATTTGTGCCACTTGATACATCTGGTTATGAACTCAATTGCGCCATTTGAATTAAAGCTAGCGCCATTACGGTTAAGCCATAAAAAAATTTAAAAAGGGGGGGGGGGGCTTACTTAACTTTTCAAAAGTTACGTTTTTTAACATGTTTTTTCTACTACATCGTACCTTTCATCATGCGCTAAAATGCGCCGTAAACAAAAATCTTGGCGTCATGATAGTGTCTCAGAAACACTATACAGGGTGTTTTTTTGGAAGCTTTAGTTAAATGATTCTGAGAAAGTAAAATAGGTAGGTTTTTAAAAATTTGTATTTAGGAGTTACTCCGAAGGCCGAATCGATGTAAAATATTTTCAAAATGGATGCACTTCCGGAAATAACTTTCGAAAACGCTAAGTTAGACCCTCCACTTTTTAAAAATTTTTTATGGCTTAACCGTAATGGCGCTAGCTTTAATTCAAGTGGCGAAATTGAGCTCATAACCAGATGTATCAAGTGACACAAATACCGGTAGCAAAATGCGTTATGGGGGATTCCGTTCACTTGCCCCCCCCCCCCCCAAATATATTTAAGGATAACCAAAAAACAATAATGGCGCAAAGATATCTTTTTACGGCGCATTTCAGCGCATACCTGAGAGTACAATTTCGTATGAAAAGATGTTAAAAAAAAGTTTAAAAACGTTAAGTTGGCCCCCCACTTTTTGAAAATTTGTCACGGCTTAACCGTAATAGCGCTAGCTTTAATTCAAGTGGCGCAATTGAGCGCATAACCAAATGTATCAGGTGACCTAGTTACAAGGAACAAAATACGTACTGGGGAGGGGGGGGGCTACGTTCACTTGCCCCCCCCAAATGTTTTTTCGATTTTTCTAAAAAACGATAATGGCGCAAGAGTTATTATCGGTGGCGCATATGAGCGCATTCATTTCAAAATAATACGACTATGAAATCTCTCAGTGGTGGGGCCAAGTTAACGGACCCCGAGAGTCATATGTATAAGAAATTTTTGGTCCCCTTGTAACGCTTTGCAGTTCCTTTACAGATATTTCTAGAAAGGCTAGCCTTGGAAAAAAACCAAAAAGCTGTAAAAATGATTCAAAGGCCTTTGACAGTAAAAATCTATGGAGATAACTGTACATATATTTTCGGATGTAATTTATCCACTCCTAAACTGCCAGACTTCCACACTCATCGTACTTTTTATTTTATTATCAAATTTTCAGATTTAAATAAACCTTAAGGGTTGAGATCAATTCGTAATCAATTTAATTGCCGAATAGAATTCTTAGTTGCCATTGCTCAGCCCAAAACCTAAAAGTTCTCAATTATGATCTTCCTTCGGTTTTCACTATCAAGATTTTGTATACAAAGCCTAAATCAAATACCTTTCGATTTTTCAAAATTCCAATGTCAAGTGGAAAATTTTCAATTTAGAGTCCATAAACCTGATGCCAACGCGCATTTTTTAAGTTATCGGGTAAAAAATGCGTGCGTCTCTTTTCAAAAATAAAAATTATAAAGAGATGCCACGCTCAAAATTTAATTTTAATTAGATAGTTCTAGATACAAAATCGTCAAAGGTGATTTTATTTAATTTTTACTTTGCAGTGACTGGTAATGGAGATAAGGACATCGCGTGATGGGGAGAAACTAGTTTCCTCCACCTGTAATCGCGTCGTCATTCGTTAGTAACCGCCCGAACGGGAATGAAAACGAATTAATTATGCATCGTTTCGTGTCCGTTATGGTTAATCGTTTTTCTTCCCAAGCGAAGATGAATTAATAAAAGGGTAAGTTTTCACTTTTTCTTTATGGTGTGCAATAAACGAAAAGGACAACGTTCCCTGAAAGTTTTTTCGGCCGAAAATAGTCAACATTTTCCAAAATAAACGCGACTGCAATCTCCTTTCGATAGGTTTATGTGTTTTTTTGCAAAAGAATCATTAGGAACTATATTTTGAATGCAACCTCATCATCCAAAGGTCCAAAAATGTAATTATTACCCATTTGTAAAGTACCGTGGTCCTATACTTGTTTCCTTTCGTTCAAAAACTTTGAATTTAATTTGCAACGTGTGTTTGAAGATAAGGCGTTAGTCATAAAATCAGGCGATGAAAACAATTCCTTTAGTATGACCATATGTTACTGCAACTAAATAATTTCATTAAATTTTGTAGTCAAAAAGGGCTTATTTCTTTGGGGATTTTGGTCATTCTTGTATCGTTTTACAAAAACTTTAAATTTACCTTTTCCAAACGAAGCTGCTCGTGTTTTTTCAATTTGTTTTGCGTAAATGCGGGGGGTGTTTTGGCACAAATTAAGTAACATATTTTTGCTGGCCAAAATTGTTTTTCTTTGTTGGTAGTGCAAATATGAAAATATTTCCATTTCTCTCTTCTTTGTGTAGGTAACTCACGACGTAAGACTTGCGTTACCAATCTGGACGATTTCAAGGGCCGTACCTCATTTATTACATCTCGAGGATCAACTCAAGAAAGGTGAGTGGTTATAATCTCCATTATTAACTAACCAGATCATCAGAGCTCGTCTTTGGTGAGAAAAGATCTCACTTTGCACCGAGAGCGAACAAATCGAAATGATTTGTACTGTAATGGTAAAATAATTAATTAACAAACGAATCGCCTTATACAGGGTGATTTTTTATGTGTAGCACTTTTGATACTGAGAGGTACCTACCAAACTCTAGTACACCTTAACCTATTGCACATAATTTAATGACTCTAGCCAGGGGTTGCCACCCATATGAAATCTACGTTCCGGTTCCGCAATACTTAGGTAGAATTATTTTTCAAGGGTTCTGGTACAGCTTTGTTTTCAACTTTTAATTAAATAAAATTATTATAAATAAAAAAAGAACAATACACTATTATTTTGCACAAACATATTTTTTAGGTTTAATTAATTTTGATTTTTCGCCTTTGATATTGATTGCAAATTTTACAACTCTGAACACAATTAACAAGGCAAGATTTTATTCTTGACTACTAAATGAAAGTACATGTTTTTCCGTTTATTTTATTGTAGCGAATTTTCTAGAACGATTAATAGTAAAAACATCGCAAGAGGGTGAAAACTGAAAAATACCTGCCCTTGGCACTAATAACAACGGTACTGCAGTGTCGGTTTCCGTTATCATATCTTGATAAATGGTTACGGTTTCAAATGAGGGGCTTATAAAATGTAATCGGTTCCGGTTCAGGTACGGGTACTTTTCGGTTCCGGGTCCAACCCTTGACTAGCAGTTGTTCAGTCAGCAAAATCGTCCTGCCTTAACCCCCCTTCCACGGCCCGATACTACGTTTTCTCGCAAAATCATCCAACCTTAAAAACACTCATGGTAATTCATGCGCTGGGGGATATTCCATACCCCCCAGACCCCTCAGTACTAAGTTCTCCGGCAAAATCGTTCAGATTTACAGGTATTCATGATGGTTCATGCGCTGGGGGATATTGCTGACCGCCCAGACCCCTCCAGTACTACGTTTTCTCGCAAAATGGTTCAGCCTTAAAGACACTTATGATGGTTCGTGCGCTGGAGGGTGTTCTTAACCTCCAGACCCCCCGGTACTAGCCCCCCCCCCTCCATATCACGACTCACCGGTACTACTCGCAAAATCGTTTCAGTTTAGATACATTCCTGATATTTCGTGTGTTATTTCAAACCCCCCAAACCCCCCTCCCTCATCGTACTACGGTTTCTCGTGTAACCTTTCTAGACTACAAAGACACTCACGGTAGTTGATAGTTCAAGGTTATTTCACAGCCCCCCCCCCCCGCTACGCTTTCTCGTAAAATCGTTCCGCCGTGAAAACACTCATGATAGTTCGTGTACTGCGGTTTTCTATACCCCCCCCCCCCACACACCTCGCGGTACTACTTTTTTTCGCGAAATTGTTTAATCTTACAGACACTCATGATAGTTCCTATGCTGGAGGGTATTCTATACGTAGTACCGGGGGGGTCTGGGTGGCAAGGAATACTCCCCTATTTAAGGCTATACCCCCCAAACCCCCTGGTACTACTTTCCCTCGTATAATCGTTCAGTTTTAAATACACTTGTGTTAGTTCATGCGCTGGGGGTATTCCATACCGTCCAGACCTCCGGTACAAAATCTTTTAGCCTTAACGACACTCGTGGTAGTTAATGGATACTCCATATCCCCCCCCCCCCCCTCATACTATGTTATCTCGCAAAATCATTCATTAAAACTAAAAACTAAAAATTGTTCAGCTTTACAGACATCTGATGGTTCATGCGCTAGGGATATTATTTACCCCCCAGACCCCCCACTCTTTCTCTCAAAATCGCTCCGCCTTACAGACACTCATGATGGTTCATGCGCTTTGTGTATTACTACCTCCACACCACCCGGTATTACGTTTTCTCATAAAATCTATCAACCTCAAAGAACGGAATCCCCCATAACGCATTTTGCTACCGGTATTTGTGCCACTTGATACATCTGGTTATGAGCTCAATTGCGCCACTTGAATTAAAGCTAGCGCCATTACGGTTAAGCCATAAAAAATTTTTTAAAAAGTGGAGGGTCTAACTTAGCGTTTTCAAAAGTTATTTCCGGAAGTGCGTCCATTTTGAAAATATTTTACATCGATTCGGCCTTCGGAGTAACTCCTAAATACACATTTTTAAAAACCTACCTATTTTACTTTCTCAGAATCGTTTAATTAAAGCTCCCCAAAAAACACCCTGTATAGTGTTTCTGAAACACTATAATGGCGCCAAGATTTTTGTTTACGGCGCATTTTAGCGCATGATGAAAGGTACGATGTAGTAGAAAAAACATGTTAAAAAACGTAACTTTTGAAAACGTTAAGTTAGCCCCCCCCTTTTTAAAATTTTTTATGGCTTAACCGTAATGGCGCTAGCTTTAATTCAAGTGGCGCAATTGAGCGCATAACCAAATGTATCAGGTGACCTAGTTACAAGGGACAAAATACGTACTGGGGGGGGCTACGTTCACTTGCCCCCCCCCCAATGTTTTTTCGGATTTCTAAAAAACGATAATGGCGCAAGAGTTATTATCGGTGGCGCATATGAGCGCATAACGAGCGCATTCATTTCAAAATAATACGACTATGAAATCTCTCAGTGGGGGGGCCAAGTTAACGGACCCCCTTGTCAGAGTTTGTAAGTTTCTTCTTGAGTTTTATAGGCCTTTTCTAGGACCAATACTGTTAAGCTTATTCCCCACGTGCGTTGACAGCACTCCAAGGCAGTTTTTTCCGGTGTCTTTTACACATGCTTCTGGGAAGTGGGAAAAGAGCTCCAGGAGTCCCTGAAATGCACTTAAAAAATGCAGGAATGTATGAAAGGTCCTGGAAAGTAATATGAACGCTATCTAGCTCTTTTAGGTCCTTTAATAAAATTCCATGTGGTTCTACCAAAGCCGTTTAGGCCACTCCCGAAGTTTAAGCCTTTCCAAAAGAAGTTATAAAAGTACCGCCCTGTTTTCTGACGCCACTACCAAGTTTTCAAACTTTTTTAAAACTAAAAATTTCCGGTTAGTTTTTTGTAACTTTGGAATACCTCCCAGTAAAAATGTTTCTGGTTTCCCCTTGAGAATGACTATGACAAGTACTGAAGATATCAATACCCTTTTCTTCCACCGACGCCTTGGTACAACGTTTTCCCGCAAAATCGTCCAGGCTTAAAGACACCCATGACAGTTCTTATACTCGGGGGTACCTGTCACCATCATTCTCAAGGCGCAACCAGAAACTATTTGTAACCCCCCGGCGATGTGTATTCCTTTTAACACATTCACATTCCTCAGTACTTGTGAACATTCTCGAGGGATAACCATCCAAGCGTCTCCCTGTGGATTTGGGATGGAATGCTCTTCAGAAGAAGGGCTCGTTGATGACTCACTCTCGAAAATGATCACGACAAGTATTGTGGGTTCTAAACGTTTTGAAAGGAGAACGCATCAGCTGGGAGCCAGGGTTGTATGGAGTGCCCCCCCCCCTGGAGAAAGAAAACGACTTTTTATTTCCTCAGCACTTACATGTTATCGCCATCTCAAAGGAGTTCCAGAACTTAACTCAACGTTTCGTTTCGGAAAGATCATCTTGAACTTTTTTTATGGCCCGTAAAAAAAGTACACACTGTATCGAGTAGCATTTTTATTACGATGACAACGATATACAGCACGTAAAAAAACAAAATTTGGTTTCAACAAGATGGCGCACCCGCGCAAATCGCCCTAATCGTGCGAGAATACCTATCAGCATATTTTCCATTGTCGAGTATCTGAGATCCATATACCTACTATCCATTACTAACTTTAGTCCATTGTCCACAGAACCACTGGGGATTGCATCCTACTCTGCCGTGGATTCTGCAGGAGAATCACATGGAGACAAGACTGAAAAGTGAACGGTGAGTGCACTCCTAAAGATCCAAAGTAATTATCAATCATATAATTGAGAACACACCACAAATCTCTCGGTGTCCATTTGAGAATTTTGGAATTTGCAACTGCACTCGCATCGGCAGTGAAAGAATTTGTTTTGACATAGTTTCATTTAACATAGTTGTGCTTGACTCATCACAAATACATTTATCTTCGGTACCAACAAATTGGTAGTTATTAATTCTATCTTTCAATTTTTGAATTACGAAGCACACAATAAAGTTTGGGGTCAAAAGGATTTACTTTTCACACAACCAAGAGATTGGATGGAAGTTCTAGAAAAATTACGATTAAAGCATAATCAAAACGCTTAGTTAATAATTTAACATTTTACTTTTCAGTGATTGGATTACCAGTAGCCTGATGCGAAATTATGGTGCAGTGTTTCCTCTCTCCTGTGGTTAATGGTGCGTCTTAGGCGGGTCAGAGTTAATAAGGCTAAAGGGTATATTTCTTTATTTTTAATTACAGCGGTTATAAAATGTCGCATAGGTTCGACGTAAATTGAAAAAAACTAAAATTGACCATTTCCTTGAATCTCTTATATCATCGAAAGTATAAGAGATATAAAAAAAAGTTTTATATAAAAGTTACTGTCTTTGATACGTTTAATTTAGAATTGATGTCAAAAAAATTCAAGATGGCTACTTTTGAGGAACATTTACCAACTTCCTAAAGTTAAATAGGCGCCATATGGGATTTTTAGATTACTTGATAGATTTTTTAATTCTCTTTTCAACCAGCCATCATAACATAAGATTGAAAATAAGATACCAGTTATATCAACGGTTTTTATATTTTAATTAAGTAGGCTGTGATGAATTAAAAAAAAACAAAACAAAATCTATTCGAGGCAACAAAACAATGAAAATAATTACATCAGATGTTTAAAAAAATCAGGGACGCACTCATGAGAGGGGGGGTTTGGGCATTACAACTCCCTCCAAAATTTTATATAAGCATTAGGTCTAGAAAAATTTGATTTTTATAACATCACTTATTGACTTATTATCCATACTTACATACCTACAAATGGTGGTATAACTACAAACTATCCCCTCGAAAAAAGTCATGCCATTATCCAGTTAAAGACATTTCAAGACACTTCGCTTTATTTTACACAATGTATTACCATTGATGCATTGTCCCAGGTCAGATTTTGTAGGTGGTTTATCCGCAAGAATATCGAAACTAACAGTTTTACCAGTCCGAGCATATGGACAGATGAATCTTATTCTTCTAACTGCGAAGTGTTCAAATCGACATTATGAACACTATTCGTCACAGGAAAACCTACATGTTGTAGTTTCACACCAAAATCAAGTAATATTTTTTTAAATTAATGTATTTTATGGCATAATGGGAAGTCATGTAATTGGACCGGTAATCTTCGATGGATCTTTAACTGCTCACCATTATTTACAAATTCTCCAATAAACTTCCTTAAAGGATTTTTCTCGACAACGTATGTTTCGAAGGAAGGGTTAGTTTATGCTACCTACCAACAAACTGGCTGCTCAGGTCACAATTCACGAATTATGTACAGTACATTAAATTATAAAAGTAAGTACTTAATTAAAAAATAAAAGTAAAGTGGAAGTAGCTACCACTACAATAATAATAATAATAATCAATGGCAACACGTTGCCTAAACTAAACTGTCTTGAAGTGTGTTTCACTAATAATGGCCAGTATTTTAAACATCTGGTGTAATTATTTTCATTGTTTTGTTGCCTCGAATAGATTTTGTTTTGTTTTTTTTTATTCGTCACAGACTACTTGATTAAAATACAAAAACCGTTAATATAACTGGTATCTTATTTTCAATCTTATGTTATAATAGCTCGTTGAAAAGAGAATTAAAAAATCTATCAAGTAATCTAAAAATCCAATATGGCGCCCATTTAACTTTAGGAAGTTGGTAAATGTTCCTCAAAAGTGGCCATCTTGAATTTTTTTTGACATCAATTCTAAATTAAGCGTATCAAAGACAGTCACTTTTATATAAAACTTTTTTTTATATCTCTTATACTTTCGATGATATAAGACATTCAAGGAAATGACCAATTTTAGTTTTTTTGAATTTACGTCGAACCTATGCGACATTTTGAATTTCATAAGGAAATTTTAAATAAGCATCCAAAACTGCAAAACATTGCCCATTTAACCAATTCTCTATCTTTAATAATAACAAAGTTACCCATGCAATCCCACCCGATTTGGGACACACTGTATACTATCACTAAAATTTGTATTAATAATCAATTAATATTAGTTGGTTTTCAGCTTTTTAACGTAAATTAATCTCTTGTTTCAGATTCCTGAAGGGCAGCCTTATAAAGGTAGGATTTTTCTTATACATTGCATGTTGCCTTATATCTATGTAATCAGTGGGGGAGTGAATAGTGCATTAGTGACTAAAAGGAAGATCATCGACAACTTTTAGCCGACCTTCTTATGGTAGTTATGACAATCGTCTCATCCTAATTTTAGTGACGTAGGGTTTTCCGCAATAATTGTTCAAGAGTCTCTTTTGTGGCACCATCAGTTTACTTCATATTAATCAGTATGACTGTGACTTCATAGCCATACCAGTTTTATGAAGTGAACGGGTTGTCTCTACGAACGAGACAACGAAAAAGTATTGCAGATAACTCCTCCGTACCTAAAATAGGTGAATTAAGGGTTGTTATATCTCATTTGTTACTACATAAAGGTCCGGTTAATGACATGTGAAGGTGAGTTATTACATCACAATGAACGTGTTTGTTTATTAATTAATTAGTTCACCACTGATGAGTTCATTAGTAGACGAACACGATTTAAATACATAATTAGCAACATTTTGGATTGTGTATTAATTTCAACGATTGTTCACAGCACCACTGACCATCGTACTGAACCCTTCACCCTTACCGGCCAGCATTCCCCAAATGCAGGACCATGGACGCGTTGTAACCAAACGAGGTGAGTACGCCACTGTCCTCAGCATCACAATCATTTACACCGTCGTATAGAAACTCAATTTAGATTTTGTACATGATCTGACACAACTCATTTATGATTAACATATAACTTTCTTCTGAGAAATAATGAGCAATAGCAAAAAAGTAATTTTTTTAATTTTTTGAAGTTTCAAAAAAGTACTATTTAATTTATTTTTCTTTGTGTAGTTTTTATCAAAAAAATTAGTTGAAAAGTAATATCAAAGATTAATTTCTGATCATCAGTTTACAAAAAGAATTATGATTTGCCCCAATGTGACATTATATCTTCTTTTTCAGTTACCGTCAGCGGTCGTTTACCAGACGTTCGCGAAGGCGAAATGATGAATCTGCAGTGCGCCGTTCTTCCTGGTGTGGACGAATTAAATTAAATTTAAAAAAAGGGTAAATTAATTTTAATTTTTTTTTTAATTTGAGACCACATTTATCGATAGTACCATCAGCAAACGATTATGTTAAATCCCAAATGAAATTTTTATGCACAGATTTTGGTTCAGAATTGCATGTGTTCATTAAAGTCACTTTGCCATTAAACAAACAATGTCGCTGCTGTTTCATAATTTTATCGTAAATTTCTTCTTTGTTTCAGATTACGGAAGAGCAGCCTTATAAAGGTAGGATAGCATGTTTTATTATATATGTGGGGGGAAAGTGAGCAGTGCACATAGTGAATTATAAAAGATCAACGACCATCTTCTAAGCCTGTCATCTTAGTGACGTAAGATTGGCTACAATGATTCTTCGAATGGTCTCTCACGGGGTATCATCAGTTTCCTTCATATTAACCAGTATGACTATGAATTCCTAGTCATACCAGTTGTATGAAGTAAGCGGATGTGCTCTGCGAATCAGACTATGAAGAAGTATTGGAGTCAATTCTTCCGTTCTCAAGCTGACTGACTTAGAGGAACCAATAAAAGGTAAGTGAGCCTTCGGGGGTTCAGTGGGATCACTTGAGCCACCTGCGGGTGGCCAACACTCCACCCCCATTTTCTTATAAAATAATTATTTTTTGGTACTGGTAAGGTACCGGTTCCTGATCTAGTCAGTAGAAATTTTAATTGGGCTGTGTTTACATAAAAAAAAGAGGCACCACTACGCTGTTTTGACTTCACGATAGTAATTTTGCTACCCTTATATATTTACTTTTCTTGATCAATTCGAAATTTAAATTAAAAAAAATATTTTTCATTTCACTAACGGTACAATAAACATAGCTATTCCAGTGTTTCCAGTATAATAGGTACTCGTATTTGAAAAAAAAATACTTCATCTGATTTATCAAACTTCGTATGTTCGTGAAATATTCCATCGGACCTTCATTTTGAAATTCTTTTGATTTTATATTCTGTTAAATCTACCGATTCCTCCGGCATACAACCAGACTACCTTCGTCTGCCTTTGTTTTTTTTTTCGTGATCGGACTGTACCCCCCTCGCCCTCCAACATCACACCATCCAATTCCTAGTCGCCAATCGATCGTAGTCAAACTTTGTACGTACTAGAACCACTCATTGCATTCTGCAGCCACCTTTCAAAACGCACTCAAATGCTGCGCCCCCATACTGATCATGCAAAACACCCCCGTTGATAAACGATCTGAAAGTGTATAGAGACGTTGCTTCTGTTTGTTGCGCACATAATCAGTCTCGTTGGAAGAGGGCCGAACTGCACATTTCGCATACCTATAGGTCACCTCCCTGATTCTCTGATTTCCAAAGCTGCTAACAGTAACTATCGGATTGACTCAATACGCTGTTTTTGAGGAAAGGAGCACATCCTCCGTATTCCTCCGCAATTTGTTCCACTAGAAAGACGTGTCTTCAGCGGGAGCCAATCGGTACTGACCGCCGCCGCGCCGTCTTCTTCAGTATGCGTTTTTTTCACCTTCCTAATCTCTCTCTTCTCCTCTTTTCAGTGGAAACTTCATGTGGATAGTCTACCCCACCCCTACCAGTTTTGTGCAGTAAACTGATTATAACTGCGAACCTGACCAGGGCTTCCAGGATTAATGTGGCAGTAGTAGTCCCTACCTCTTTTCGCACCAGGAGAAGACGTAGACTGCTAACACCCCCTTCACAAGCTCTGAGGATTTCCGTACGTCTGAGTTCAATTTTATATTTCAGGAGAATGTGCAGACTTTCGACAATTCTCTCCACAGGTTCTTTATATTTCAGGAGAAGATGCAGACTTTCGACAATTCTCTCCACAGGTTCTTTATATTTCAGGAGAAGGTGCAGACTTTCGACAATTCTCTCCACAGGTTCTTTATATTTCAGGAGAAGTTGCAGGCTTTCGACAATTCTCTCCACAGGATTTCCGTACGGCTGAGTTCAATTTTATATTTCAGGAGAAGGTGCAGACTTTCGACAATTCTCTCCCCAGGATCTTTATATTTCAGGAGAAGTTGCAGATTTTCGACAATTCTCTCCACAGGTTCTTTATATTTCAGGAGAAGGTGCAGACTTTCGACAATTCTCTCCACAGGTTCTTTATATTTCAGGAGAAGGTGCAGACTTTCGACAATTCTCTCCCCAGGTTCTTTATATTTCAGGAGAAGGTGCAGACTTTCGACAATTCTCTCCCCAGGTTCTTTATATTTCAGGAGAAGGTGCAGACTTTCGACAATTCTCTCCACAGGTTTTTTATATTTCAGGAGAAGTTGCAGGCTTTCGACAATTCTCTCCACAGGTTCTGCAGGATTTCCGTACGGCTGAGTTCAATTTTATATTTCAGGAGAAGGTGCAGACTTTCGACAATTCTCTCCACAGGTTCTTTATATTTCAGGAGAAGTTGCAGTCTTTCGACAATTCTCTCCACAGGTTCTTTATATTTCAGGAGAAGGTGCAGACTTTCGACAATTCTCTCCACACGTTCTTTATATTTCAGGAGAAGGTGCAGACTTTCGTCACTTCTCTCCACAGGTTCTTCATATTTCAGGAGAAGGTGCAGACTTTCGTCAATTCTCTCCACAGGTTCTTTATATTTCAGGAGCAGTTGCGCGACTTTCGTCAATTCTCTCCACAGGTTCTTTATATTTCAGGAGAAGGTGCAGACTTTCGTCAATTCTCTCCACAGGTTCTTTATATTTCAGGAGCAGTTGCGCGACTTTCGTCAATTCTCTCCACAGGTTCTTTAAATTTCAGGAGAAGGTGCAGACTTTCGTCAATTCTCTCCACACGTTCTTTATATTTCAGGAGAAGGTGCAGACTTTCGTCACTTCTCTCCACAGGTTCTTCATATTTCAGGAGAAGGTGCAGACTTTCGTCAATTCTCTCCACAGGTTCTTTATATTTCAGGAGCAGTTGCGCGACTTTCGTCAATTCTCTCCACAGGTTCGTTATATTTCAGAACAGTTGGCGCGACTTTTCGTCAATTCTCTCCACAGGTTCTTTATATTTCAGGAGAAAGGCGCAGCACTTTTCTTCAATTTCTCTCCACAGGTTCTTATAATTTCAGGAGAAGGTGCAGACTTTCGTCAATTCTCTCCACACGTTCTTTATATTTCAGGAGAAGGTGCAGACTTTCGTCACTTCTCTCCACAGGTTCTTCATATTTCAGGAGAAGTTGCAGACTTTCGTCACTTCTCTCCACAGGTTCTTTATATTTCAGGAGAAGGTGCAGACTTTCGTCACTTCTCTCCACAGGTTCTTTATATTTCAGGAGAAGGTGCAGACTTTCGTCAATTTCTCCACAGGTTCTGCAGGATTTCCGTACGGCTGAGTTCAATTTTATATTTCAGGAGAAGTTGCAGACTTTCGTCAATTCTCTCCACAGGTTCTTTATATTTCAGGAGAAGGCGCAGACTTTCGTCAATTCTCTCCACAGGTTCTTTATATTTCAGGAGCAGTTGCGCGACTTTCGTCAATTCTCTCCACAGGTTCTTTATATTTCAGGAGAAGGTGCAGACTTTCGTCACTTCTCTCCACAGGTTCTTTATATTTCAGGAGCAGTTGCGCGACTTTCGTCAATTCTCTCCACAGGTTCTTTATATTTCAGGAGAAGGTGCAGACTTTCGTCAATTCTCTCCACACGTTCTTTATATTTCAGGAGAAGGTGCAGACTTTCGTCACTTCTCTCCACAGGTTCTTCATATTTCAGGAGAAGTTGCAGACTTTCGTCACTTCTCTCCACAGGTTCTTTATATTTCAGGAGAAGGTGCAGACTTTCGTCACTTCTCTCCACAGGTTCTTTATATTTCAGGAGAAGGTGCAGACTTTCGTCAATTTCTCCACAGGTTCTGCAGGATTTCCGTACGGCTGAGTTCAATTTTATATTTCAGGAGAAGTTGCAGACTTTCGTCAATTCTCTCCACAGGTTCTTTATATTTCAGGAGAAGGCGCAGACTTTCGTCAATTCTCTCCACAGGTTCTTTATATTTCAGGAGCAGTTGCGCGACTTTCGTCAATTCTCTCCACAGGTTCTTTATATTTCAGGAGAAGGTGCAGACTTTCGTCAATTCTCTCCACACGTTCTTTATATTTCAGGAGAAGGTGCAGACTTTCGTCAATTCTCTCCACAGGTTTTGCAGGATTTCCGTACGTCTGGTGTATGATTTTCAAGAATAAGAAGATCTAGAATCAAGAATATCCTGAAGGAT